GGCCTGAAAATTGAGACCTCAGGCCTTGACCGTCTGAATCCCAGCTCTGGCACTCAGGACTCAGGTATCCTGGGCAAATTTCATAACTTCTCTGAGCCTCAGTTTCCTCATCTATAAAATAGGGATCATATGATCTACTTCCCAGGGTAATTGTGAAGATTAAATGAGATAATCTCTGTTAACTACTCAGCCCAATTTCTAGAAAGTGGTAGAAAGAAGAAAGAAAGTGAAGTCACTCAATTGTGTCTGACTTTTTGCAGCCCCATGAACTGTAGCCTACCAGCCTCTCCTGTCCATGGGATTTTCCAGGCAAGAATACTAGAGTGGGTTGACATTTCCTTCTTCAGGGGATCTTTCCAACCCAGGGATCAAACCCAGGTCTCCCGCATTGTAGGCAGACACTTGACCGTCTGAGCCGCCAGGGAAGTCACAACGTGATAAACTCTCCATAAAAGGGAGCTGTTGGGGGAATTATCACAATTCTGGAGCCCTGAGCATAACCCAGCTGTGAGAGTAGAGAAACTCTCCGGCAACTTAAATGGTGGAACCATAGGAGGGACAAGCCAGCCACCCAGTGTGGGAATGAGAACACAGCAGGGTGTGGTGCCTGATGTGGATTTAGGGACGCAGGAAAAGTTAGACCAGATAGAGTGGGAGATGTGACAGATTTGAACCCAAGACAGGGACCATAAGTCTTCCATAGCTGTTCAGACGGTAAAGCATCTGCCTACAACATGGGAGACCTGGGTTCGATCCCTGGGTTGGGAAGATCCCCTGGAGAAGGAACTGGCAACCCACTCCAGCATCCTTCCTGGAAAATCCCTGGGACGGAGGAGCCTGGTGGGCTACAGCCCATGGGATTGCAGACTCAGACACAACTGAGCGACTTCCCTTACTTACTGGCTCAGGGACCGTGGCTCATATTCCACTGAACGCCCACGGGCTTGCACACAGCAGTCCTCGGTGCTTGCGTTCATCCCTGCAAGCTTACTGTGTGCCACTGTAACTAACCCATTAATCTCTCACAACAGCTATGAAGGCAAGTACTATGTGTAGGCCTGTTTTCCACCCGAGAAAGGTGAGGCACAGCCAAGTTGCCCGGAGTCTTAGAGGCAGTGCGCCTCACAGGCATGTGAGCGGCAGGAGCTCAGGAATGGCTGCATCTTCTGTGAATCTGGGGATCAGAGAATCATCACAAGCGGTCACTGATGGACCTAGCAACAAGGTGTTTGGATTTGGGTTGCAGAATCAGACGTAAACCACCAGGAGGGAGGGGCTGAGCTACCCCACAGGACAGAGCGGTGAGCATAACCTTGAAAACCGAAGCCATGTGTGTTTGGCAGTTACCGTGTGCTATTGTTCTGAGGACTTTCTGTGAACCAACACTGAGTTCTCCCAACAGCTGTGTGATGTGGGTCCACTGATCACCCCATTTCACAGAAGAGGAAACTGAAGCTCAGAGTTAAGCCAGCTCCAGGGCCACCTCATCTTAATTCACTGGGCTTGAAGTTATGACCTGCATCTCACTTACTACATGAAACTGTTAGTGGATTTCCGTTGCTTACATTTGGGCATAACTGGGACACTGGGGTAGGCATAAGGAGGCTGCAGCCCCAAGGCCTGAAGGAGCACTACTGACGCCCGTAAGGGACAGTGACAGAGGCCAGCAGGAACAGCAGGTGAGGAGCAGGTGATCAGGGTTTCACACCGGAAGTGCCTGTTTAGGATGCATCCCAGGATCATCCTGCCAACAGCTGACCTTGGCTGGCTGGGCAAGGCATCACAAAGGAGGCCTCAGCTAGATGCTGAGGTGCCCACATGGCCCAGCTGCCAAGACCAGATGCTCTCAAAGGGAGAGGCTAGAAGGCACCCGGCATTAGGGGCTTGACTCCTGATGAAGAATAGTGCAGAGTGTGGGGCAGGCTCTGTGCCAAGGTCGTAGGTCATCAGTGAGCCACGACCTAAGAGAAGGTGGGACAAACAGAAGTGTCAATCGTCCTCTGGGACGATTCCCAGGGCTTTTTTCAGACCTTGTAGTGGGCAGCATCCAAAGGTCCAGTTAGACCGTTATTTAGAGCCAGAGTGGCCACGGTGATGCAGGGAGAAGCAGAATCCCCCAGAACTGCCAACAGAAGGCTGGAGTGCCCTCTCCCGTGGCATTTTAACCCCTAACGACTGAACACATACACGGTTTTCAGTTGCCAGCTCACTGGTGACCTTTCATCTCCTATTCGCCACGGCTGGTCTTTCAAGGGACATGATATCACTTTAATTCCCAATATCCCAATAGCTCCTGAAAGCATTTTCCCTACTGTGGTAAAAAGAACAATGTCTGAAGATTCTGGAAATCTGAGCTAACCCCAGAGCCGCTGCCTCCCTCTGCGTGACCCTGGGGAGGTCATCTCGCCTCTCCGGTTACTCTGCTCGTCCAACTTCAGAACAAGATGTTGGCAGGACTGTAAAAGGACCCCTCGAGCTCTGGACTTCCAGCTTTAGTAAATTGTCCGCTCTTTCAAGAAAGGGATCGTGATTTACCTTTGTGTGAGGGACTTAGCAGGGTGTCCGGAACATACTGGGACCCAAAAACTGTTGGAATAAGGGCGGCCGCCAGTGGAGGAGGCGGGGAGAAAAGAGAGAGGGAGAGAAGAAAGGGGAAGAAGGGAAGGCAGGAGGGGAGTTAGGAAGCAGGGCGAGAGCGAGGAAGGAAGCGGGCTGCGGCCTCTCATGACCAGGGAGCTTCGCTTCTCTCTGTGCCAGCCACAGCCAGGCCTGGCCCTTGGATTTGCCCTTAGTAGGCCAAACGCTAAGTATCAGTTGAATCTAAATGAAAGCACCATCAACCAAAAACATCAGGGAATGGAATCCCACCGCCAACTTCAGCAGAAGGCCTGATGATGCTATTCCCAGTCTCCTCCAGCTATGAGTAATGGAGTTGTTGTTTTAAATACAGCTTATCCTGGCAACCCCATAATTCAAAGTCATGTACATTTGTATGTCTGTCTGCTATACAAATAATCACATTAGGACCTGCAAGGGGCGGCGGGTGGGGGTGGGTGGGGGGAAACTCTGCGCTCTCTTCAGAAGAAAAGACAGGAGAATTAAAAGAGCGGTAATGTTTTCAGTTGATCAGCAAGAGTCCTGCTGGTGTGGTTGACCAGATGGGCAACCCAGGCACTGTTCCATCCTGGGAACCGCAGGGGTCAGAGGTGCCCGGGAAAGGACAGTGGGGGTGGAGGGTTCGCTTCTCCACAGACACAGGCAGCAGAAACGAGACCACAGCAAGGCTGGTACCTGTTCTGGCCTCAGGTTTCCCACAGGAGGAAGTGGAACCCTGGGACAGAAGCAATGACGTGCCATGGGATTGACCATCATCTCTGGGATCAGAAAAGTCTGAATTCAACTTGAGTTTTGAGGCTTGGGAGCCTGTGACCTTGGGCAAGTGACTTGACCTCCCTGACCCTCAGTTTCTTTCTGGAACAATGATGGTAGTACTATCTATCCCCACAGTGCTGCTGCAAGAAATAAGGCCACGCAAAGTCCTTCACTTGGCTCTGACACTTGGTAAAGACTTCAGGAATAGCATGTGTATAATTACAATATATGACATAACACAATATTACATAAATATGTATAGGCACACATATTTAATTAACTTAGATACATTTCTTGAAGCATGCCACCAGGTAGACTAACATCCACAAACACCAGTAATAGCATAAAAACCATGTCATTAAGTCATAAATGTTGACACAGATGACAGGCAAGTTGTAACTATTTATAAGTAACTGTTCATAACTTAATCATTAAAATGTTGTTTTTAAAAAACAAACTTTGAATTTTCACAAGGTAGAAGAGTAAACATGAGCTGTCTCTGCCCTTATTTGGTGAATAAAGTATTTATAGGAATTTCACTCACTTCTGGATTTTGGTTAATTAATAAAGGAATGTGGAGTGTCTTGGAGCATCCCCTGACCTCATCGGAGATTTCAAAGCTTTAAGTGTCAGAAATGGAGGGGTTGTACAGGACTCTGAGAAACAAGCCAGGGGAGAGATTAACGAAACTTTAGAAGAGAGAGCATCAGAGTGTGTGGGGAAAAGTAAGCTCTTACGTTGGGCTCCCCGAGGTGTGGGATGCATCTCTCCGATGTGACAGACTTAGTGTGATTTCAGTGTGATTACAGGTGGAAAGCAAAATGACATCAGTGGCATCAATAACTTCAAGTCACTGGAGGTGCAATCTAACCGTTTCCGATTCCGTTTCAGTCCTTCTGATGACATCGAGGAGAAGGTCTCTTGATGCTGCTCTTCCACACCTCTCCTTTTTATTTTTAACATTTTCCCTTTTGCACCGAGAGCCTCATACTCATGGCCTTTGCCAAAGCTGCAGGCAGAATTTAATTAACAGTGATTTAGTTTCATGGTATTTATTTATATTGATGGCATATGATCCCGAGTTTCTATTTACAGCAGTGATATAAAGTTTTATTTGTGCTGAGATTTATCAGTGTGTTCAAAAACAGAGCTGAGAAAAGGAAAATAGTGGTACAAGCAGTCTGCAGACAGGGAGTCAAGAGAGTGGTTTGGAGAGATGCCTGGGTAAGGAAGCATCGAGGAGAGGGTTCAGAGAACGCGCAGAGTTGGAGAACTGTTTCTTTTCCACAAAGAAGAGGGAAAGAATGACGGGAACATTGAGAACCAGGGCAAGACCCTTTGGAGTAATTAAATAGAAGCTGAATGCAGACTCCAAGTTAGCAGCCATGAATGAGGACACATAACTCACAGAATATATGCCACCACGGTGGACCCAGCAATGAACTTGAACACTGAGCAAATCTGCATTCCCGGAGAACTACACGTCTGTGCCTCTGTAGACGTATTTTCATGGCCTCAGGCGCTGAGCTTGTCAGTGGCCTTCAGAGGGACCGAGCTGGCAGAATCTGCTTACAGCCCCTGGCTGATCTCTTGCCCTTTGCTCATCCACTCACGGCCCCCGGGTTCAGATCCAGAAAGCAGAGGAGCGCCAAGCGCTGCAGGCTGAGTTTCAGAGACTCGGTGGGAACTGCTTCCGCAAGGGCCAGCCAAGAGGAGACGCTGCTGGGAAGTGAAAGAATGGAGGCAGGGAGCAATCCAGGCTCTTCTCGCCTCACTTTCTAGGCAGGCAGCTCCCGGGAAGTGGCTGCCTTTCCCCAGGGTGCTAGCGCCCACTGGCCAGGACGCTGGGCCTCTGGCTCCCCTGGACCCTGGACCCAGGGACACCCCTTCCTCCTGATTCCTCCAGCCAGGGCGTGGTGGCACCCTCCCTCCCTCGTCTGATTTTTCGGCCCTTCCATCATCGGTGAATGCCAGTTCCTTGTATTAAGGCAGGCCTCCCACCCCGGTTTAAATTCTTAGCACAGTTTCTGTTTTCCTGGTTGGGGCCTGGCTGACACACGTCCCCAAACCTTTATTTAGTCAGAACCAACCTGACACAGTGAAGACCCCTCTTGTTAGACTCATTAAATGCTGGATTTTGGAAGAATAAGCCGGATGGTTGTGCTCACAGCTAAATGGATCACAGGTCAGCGGAGGAAGAGCCAGCTATTTTAGGCTTCACAGGCCACATGGTCTCTGTAGCATACTCTTTTTATTTTTATTAAGCCCTTTAAAACGCAAAAAAAAAAAAAAAACTGTTCTCAGCTTGTGGGGAGCCCGGAAACAAGGCGTGAGCAGTCGCTTGCTGACGCCCTGCAGTAGCTGTGCGTAAACACGCCGGCCTTGAGCAGAGCCAGCTCCTCCCTCCAGGCTCAAGGTCGGTCCTGTGACCTGAATCTGGCCGATCAGTGCATTCCATTTTCCTGGCACTAGACTGCTTCCGAGCATAAAGTAAGTGCTTTGAGAAGGGCACCCCCAAAGGGAAACAGCATTGGAAGTAAAGCAACCTACTCTAAGCCAGGCACTGTGCTGGGCACTTCACACGCGTTATCTCTTTAAACCCTCACACTGGGGCTTAGAGGTGTATGTCCCCCAGAGTAAAACAAATGGTAAGTGGCAGTGTCAGAGTGTGGAAGCAGATGATTCAAACCTTTTTACACCCTATGCCATGCTAAAATAAAGATCAAGGCTCCAGACAGGTGAGCGGAAAACAACAACCCGTCCTTGACATGTTGTTGGGGCCCCCCAGCTAAGAATAAATGCATTGGACCTGTCCAGCTCTAATCATCACTCGTACTTATAAGCATTTCATGGTTCCCCAAGGCACTTTCATGCACCTAACCTCACCCCATCCTCACAACGACTTAGTGAGGTCGGCCGAGCAGGAATCCCCTCTCCCAATTTGTGAAGGAGAACACTGAGGTTCAGAGAGATGAAGCACACTGCCCAAGGTCACACAGCTCATTGGTGGCAGAGCTGGGATTTGAACTAGATCGCGGGCAAAGGTGAGAGGACCTGTGAGGTTTATCAACAGGGCCCCGGGATTTTTTTTCTAAACCACAGAATTGCCCAGCCAGAAGTTCCTGGGGAGCACCCCCTTTGACCCACGTGGGAGGCTCAGGTCCTCTGTCACTGCCTCTGCAAGTCCTCCTGTCCATCCTTCAAGCCCCAGTTCAGGGTCCCTCTCTTTCAGAAGCGCTTCCCTGGCTGGAGCCCATAGTTCTCCCCGTCTCTGAAATCCTCAAGCGATTACTGTCTGTGCCACTCGTTTAGCAATTAGTCACCTGCCTCCAGTCTCCGAAAAGCCCCGCTACGGCGGCCTCTACCCCCTGCTCAAATCCGTGGTTATTTTCCAACTTGCTTCCCCGGGTGGGCTGTAGATGCCCCGCCAGCCCGGGCTGGGGGTCCTGCTCCTCTTCACAGCCCTGCACACAGTGGGTGCTCAGTAACTCTGAATCCGTCCCATCCCAGTGAGCACCGCCCTCTCAACGCTCCTCAGAGTGAGTCTGGACAAGGCGGCTGCGGCCACCTGTTGGCCATGTGACCAGGACAGCCGATTCTTTCTGACCCTCGCGCCCTCCCCTATAAGATGCAGACTGTCACGGCGTCTTCCTCACGGGGTCTATGAGGGTGAGCGGGACTGACTGTGCGTGTACTGTCTTTCCTGGGCCAGCGTCAACGATTCAAGTGGGGCTGCCCCCCGACCTCTGCAGGGGTGGGCAAGTGACCCCACTGCCCTGGAAATACCGACCAGTCCTGGAAATGCTGATCCGCCCGGGGTGGACTTATGCTCCAGGGACAGCCAGTCAGAGCTCTTTTGCACACACGGGGTGAGACAGCCTCTGTTCCACGCTGCTGATTGAGCCAGGCGAATGGGACTCTGGGGAAGCCACACGGGAAAAGCCCCGCTCTAGCGGGAGAGAAGGCAGTGGTGTGGAGACGGGAGCAGAGTGGAGCAGAATGGAATGGACAAAACACAAGGCAGGATTAGCCCCTAGACACCACTGTCCAGGGATCCACCTGGGATTTGCCAATTATGTGAGCCGATCATTTTGCTGGAGCCAATTTGAGTTGGATTTCTTCACTTGCAAATGAAAAGGTCTAAACCAATACAGAGATGTTCGTCACACCTAAAATCTCCCAGAATAATACCTGACAAAGAGGAGATGCCAGTAAGTGGGAGCTGTTGATGTTTATCACCATTAACAGCAGAAAATGAAAAAGTTTTTTCATAGGATGCTGCAGCTTGGTGGCTAGAAGAAGGATCTAGATCAAATCTTATTTCCATACTTTAGCAGCTTTGGGTCTTTGGGGCAAGTTAGCCAATCTCTAACCCCTCTGAGCCTCTGCTTCTCCATCTGTAAAATGAGATGAGTCATGCCAGCCTTCCAGAAGGCTGTTAGGATAAGGAAGCCTGTGTGATGGCTCATCCCACCATGTAAGTGCTTAATAAATGCAAGGTAGCCACTCCACCACAATCCCAGGGATCCCATCAAAGGACGACATCGCCCCTACCTCCTCCATAGCGGGGGCTGAGGGTCAGAGGAGGAATTACGTGCCCAGGTTCTCATAGTGAGGGCAAGCCTGCATTCAGGTCTCCAGGTTCTGATCTGGGGCTCTGGCTACCATTTTAGAATCGTCCTGCATCTTACCTCCCTCCCAGAGTCACTGGAGTTAAAGCCTCTCTCTCCGGGTATAAACGGGAACACGCATGTAGCACCATGACCTCCAGCAAGTCATGTCTGTTCCCCCGGTCTCATTTCCTCCATCTGTAGAATGGGGACAATCGCGATCACGTGTAGGACCCAAGGACTGTATGAGTGTGGTCAGTTGCTACCTGTTTTCTTTTGCAAGAAGGGGGAGGAGGAGATGCTGGGTCACGTGGCCACAGAGATGAGCCACTCATCCCCAGAACCCCCAAATGCCTGGCATTTCCAGCCCAGGGTGAAGTCCTGGCAACTTCACCCATGGGTGACAGGTGGGTCCTGCCTGCCCAGTGTCCAGGGTGTGAAACACCTTCAAGGTCTGCGATTTTCCTGTCTGCCTCTGGAAGACGGGGTCACTTCTCTAGCAAGATGCAGCTGGGCAGAAAAGGCAGTGCAGGCTCTCCCTCTGGCCCAGCTCTGCATGTGCCAGGGGCCAGCCCGCCCCCCTGCATGCCCCCAGGGCCCCAAACGCCCCCTCGTTCTTGCAGCCCACTCACCCAGTGCTCGGCAACAGCACACAGTGCCTCCTCCCCCTCTGTGAAGATAAGCGAACCAAACGGTCGTCCTCCCCCAGAAGGATCCCGCCAGGACTAGGCAGCAAGGCCCCTGTGTGCCTCCAGCCCCCGACGGTGCCCGGGCCGCCAACCACCCCAGTGGACGAGGAGGGTGGTTTCCTCACCGTCTGCAGGTGGATGACCAGCGCATCGTGGACTCACTCATCTGTTCACCCCTCACTCACTGCCCATCATCCACTCAGCTGCTCATTCACGCCTTCGCCCCCTCACCACTCACTCCCTCTGATTCACACAGCACATCAGGCACCTCCCGGGCCCCCAGTTCATACCCTTTCATAGGCCCCACCTCTTACTCCGGCTACCACTGTGACGAGCGTTCTGCACAGATTTCAACCAGCTTGGCATGGGTGCCACCTGGAGGTACCTCCCCTCGGGCCTGGCCACATCTTCCTGCCCAGAGCTTCCTTTTCTCCGTGGTGGGATCCCACAAGGACCCACGTGGCACCCACACCTGTGCTAGCAACAAGGGCAGAAGCATCAGTGCCCAGGAGGCAACCTTCAGACAGTGGAATATGGAAGCCACGAGGTAAGTGTTCTCCCCCTGGGCAGACAGTCTTGAGACACGTTCTACAAGGTTCTCAGAGGTCCGTTGGAATCAAGCAATCAGTCACCCATAGCAATGACTGATTCAGCAAGGAAACTTTTTGTTATCCAAAGGTTTAGTGACTTAAAACAACAACGAACATTTAACATCTCAGTGTCTGTAAGCATGAAATTTGGGAGCAGCCGAAGCTAGGCAGTTCTGGCTTGAGGTCTCTCGGTTTGCTGGCTGGGGTGGTGCTCATCTGAAGGCCTGACTGTGGCTGGAGAATCTGATTCCAATCTGGCGCCCTCACGTGCAGCACGTTCAGGCTGGCTGTCGGCAGGAGGCCTGCGTTCCTCGCCAACGGGCCTCCCCGGAGGACTGCCTGAGCATCCTCACGACATGGCACCAGGCTTTCCCCAAACAAGGGACCCAAGAGAGCACGTGGGAAGCCTCAGTGTCACTCACGGAGCCTCAGAGCCAGACACTCTCAAGTCTCCAGTATCTTATCATTACAAGGATCAGTCCTGTTTGGTGGGGGAGAGAATTCTGAATTCCAGGAGGCGAGGCTCATTGGGGGCCATCTGGGAGACTGGCCACCAGGCCTTCACTCCCTGTCCCGCTCCCCTGCCCTTCACCTCTACCCTGGGATAGCATTCTTGATGAACCATCTGCACTGGAGACTTTGTTTCAGGCTCTGCTTTTGGGGAAAGACAGACTAGAACACAACCAAAAGAAAACCAACAGACACTCTCTCAGCCAACGACTCACACACTCACCAAATTACTGAGCAGCTAGGGCTTCCCAAGTGGCGCTAGTGGTAAAGAACCCGCCTGCCAATGCAGGAGACATAAGAGACGCTGGCTTGATCCCTGAGTCAGGAAGATCCCCTGGAGAGCCTGGCAACCCACTCCAGTATTCTTGCCTGGAGAATCCCACAGACAGAGGAGCCTGGTGGGCTACAGCCCATAGGGACACAGAGTTGGACACGACTGAAGCAACTTAGCATGTATCCAATGTGTGAAAGCTACTGCCAAAATCTTCCCCAGCCCCCAAACAGTAAAACTCAGCACCTTTCTCCTGTTGCAGATGAGAGGAATCAAGACTGGGGGTGTTGCTGACAAGGGAACAAATGGAAGAGGAGGGAGATGGGACCCTGGGGTCAGGGGGAGAAAACCCACTCCTCAGAAGCTGGGTGAATTAGAAAGCGTCCGTTCACTCCTCTGAACCTCCACTTCCTATGTGCAAATCTGACACATTACTAATGAACTCACGTCAGTCCCTGGAGCCCCTTCCTGAACTCAGACGTCGGGTCCATCAGAGCAGGTCTAGGTCTGGCTGCTTTGTCTGCATATCTACCGGGGAGCTCTCAGGGAAGGCCTCCCTCACGCTGGGATTCCAGTTCAGGGACCGCTATCCTCTGGAGGCTGGAGGGGGCTGAATTCCCCAGGGCCTCCAGGATCAGCCCCCTCCGCTGTGAGGTCTTAAAGGGGAAGGGGTGGCAGAGGGGACCTGGCACGTAGCACGTTCCAATCAGTTCAGCGTAGTGCTCCTTTCACAACAGACAGACAAACAAGATCTGCTGGTTTCACCGGTGATGCTTCTAGGCATGTCCTTCGTCTCAAACTGACTCAAGCGAAAAAGATATTACTGGCTCATGTAAGCAAAAACATCCAAGAACCCACACCAGTCAGGGCTGGATGCAGGGGCTGCGAAGATGTCTCGGTCGTGCACTCTCTTCTCGTCTCGACGTTACGTTCCTTCATGCTGGCCTCACTCTGAGGCAGCCCAGGGTGGCAGGGGCTCCAAGCTGTGACCCCCTAGGTTCAGATTCAGTGGAGAGCAATGTTGCCTCTCTGACAGCAGTTCCAGCAAAAGCCTCACTTCATAGCATTTCATCACACCCACACACCAAGCGAATCCAATGATCTTACCGGTCAAACTGAGTCACATGCCCACCTCCAGAGCCAGAGATCCCTCCCGCCTAAGGGAGCCGGGAGGGCAGGCAGAAGCAGGCGGTCTCCAGCCCCAGGGGAATGGCCCCGCCAGTCAGAAGCCAGCAGGGGTCTGTCAGCGGGCCTCGAGGTCCCCATGGTCTCTCACCTCTCTCCTTGGCTATGGCCCTTGTTGAATCCGAACCCACGGGGGAGCCTTCCAACTGCTCAGAATCACTGAATCATAAGCCGTCGGAGCCAGAAGGGGCCTTCAAATGCGACCAGCTCATAACTGGCAAAGACACGGCGCGCTTGCCGCCACTCTCCTCGCCCACCCCCGAGGCAGACATCACTAACGGATCCCAGCTTCTCCCTGGGCCGAGACACAGACCCAGAAACTCCTCCACCACGGCGCTCCAGGGAGCCAGTGCTGACTGATCACGGCTGGCTCCCGGGAGGAAGCCCACATCCATTCCTTCACCGGCACCAACGTTTGATGGATGGGGAAACAGACCTGGAGAGAGATTGCTTTGCCCAATATCGTGCACGAAGGGCTCTCTTGCGGCCTTACCTTCCTGATTGGAAAGTAGGCGGGACTGTTGATCTCTCTGTGGCTACAATCCCTTCCTAATAACACTCTGTGGTTCTTACACCTTCCTTTCTCCTTTCTGCTCTCACTAGGCTCCCTTTTCAGTCCAGATGGACCAGCCAGAAACACCTGCAGGAGCAATAATTGTAACAGAGCTCACTTTTATTGACTATTTACCCTGTGCCAGGAACTGTGCTTCAGAGTCCCTCCTCCGCAGAGGTGTGACAGGATCGATGGTGTCATAGAGGCAGAGCACTGTGAATCACGCTGGCATAGATACGTGCTCACTGAAATGGTCTCTCGTATCTTAGACCAGGTTTTCAAGAAGCAGGACCTGGGATGAGATTTGTGAACAAATGACTTTTTAAGGGGGAAACTCTTTATTTTAAAAAATTTTTTTCATTGACATATAGTTGATTTACAATGTTGTGTTAGTTTCAGATATACAGCAGTTATATCTTAGATTCAGTTTACATATATATTCTCTTCAGATTCTTTCCCCTCATAGGGCTATTACAAAATATTGACCACAGTTCCCTGTGCTATACAGTAGGTCCTTGTTGGCGATGTAGGGGGAGCTCTTTAAATAAACTAGTGGTAACGAACCTGCAGGCTAATGCAGGAGACATAAGAGACGCGGGTTCGATCCCTGGGTTGGGAAGCTCCCCCGGAGGAGGGCGTGGCAACCCACTCCAGCATTCTTGCCTGGAGAATCCCAAGGACAGAGGAGCCTGGCAGCCGACACAGTCCACAGAGTCGCAGAGTCAGACACGACTGAAGCAATTCAGCACACACGCCCTTAAGGCGATGAGAAGGACAAGAAGCTGAGCAAATATGTGATTCAGATAAAACGCAGCTTCAGCTTGAACCCATAGGGAGTTTAGAAATGTAAACGGCGCTGCAGAGTTTGTCCCACCTTAAAGGAAAGGTGTTAGATTTCTCCGCCCCCTACACAAACACACACACACACACACACACACACACACACACACACTGCATTCACTGGACCTCGGAGTCACCCAACTCCAGCATCACTGGTCAGAGTTGGAGTAGGGGACTCCTCCTCTGGGTCCATCTTCAGCTCTAGGCAGGAAACCAGAAGCTAGTTCCCTGCCGTCTCCAAGTTAAAGCACAGACAGAGTAAATCATTGCCCAAAGGACAGCTGGGAAGTAGTGGGAAAAGAATCCAAACCTCCTGGCCATGGTTTCCGTCTGCTAGCTGACCTCCGAGTAGACAGCCCACACAAGAAATCAGGAACCTAGGGTACTTGTCCCAGCACCCCGGCTGTCTCCATGGTCTGGGCAAGGCCTTCATCGTCTAACTTTCCCAGGCCTCAAATTATTCATCTGCAGGGTGCAGGTGGGGGGTGACATTCCAGCCAGGGACCCCCAGGAGTCCCAGTGAACTGGGACCTTGGCTCAGGGAGGGGCAATCCTGCCCCGCCCTGCTCAGACGGCTGCTCTGTTACCAACGGGAAGGGAGACGGCGAGCTTAGATGCCACACTGGCTGTAAATGGAAAGATCTCAGATTTATTTCCACTCAGGCTCTGGCTCTGGCCAGGTGGGCCCTGGGGCTCGGGCCGATGATGTATAGCTGGGGGTGAGGGTTTAGGGGTGGAGGCTCCTGGAGGCTGTCTGGGGATCCTGGATCCCAGCACGGCATCTCCAGTGTAGCCGGGGACAGATTCCTGAAGGTGGGAAGGGAAGTACATCTGCAGACTCCTACTCTGGGTCCATCTTCAGCTTGAGGCAGGAAACCAGAAGCTAGCAGGATGTATTTCTTTCATAAGCAAATAAGTGCATTTCTGTTACATTAAATAAATTTCTGGTATCAACTTCTGGGATGCTCTAGAAAACTCTTCTCTGAAGGTTGGAGGAGAATCTAAACTCAGGGAAAGATTTCAGTGATCTTGGATGGTCTGGCCTCAAGACAAAAATGCATAATGTGATTCAAGAGCATAAATGGGAACTCAGGGCTGGGTGCCAGACCCTGAGGATGGAGCACAGGCCAAGCACACGTCCCACGTTGTCCCCACTCATCCTGACATAATTATAAAGAAAGAAATGCTATCACCCCTTTATACAAAGGAGAAAGTGAAGCTTAGAGATATCCAGTCACTTGCCCCCCAGTTGCTCAGCCAGTGAGTGGCTCACAGCTGAACCCATAACTTTCTGATGCCAGGGCCTGTGTTCATGACCTGGAGAATATCCACAATAGGGAGGCAGAGTTTGGGGGTGACCTGCAGGCCCTAAAATTGGGGAGCCTCCTGCTCAGGGGAGGAGATGCTGAGTACCCAGGATATGTTGGTATATTTCTCTCCCTCTGCAGGGAAGGAACAGCCAGGAGTTTCCGGGCGCCCATCTGGCAGCGTGGGGAGGCCCGCACAGTCTGGTGAGGGCGGCTGGAAAACAAGGGATCCATTCAAAGCAGGAGTTTAGGGGTCAGTCCCTGCTCACAACCTGTCACATACTGATTTTTCAGCGTGGAGAGGCATGGCGGCCAGCGATGGGGAGAGAGAAGGGGAACAGCTCACCGAAAATAACTGAAAACACTAACTCAGCCATCTGGCATCTGGGGAGCGTGCACACAGAGGCCAGGGCCTCCTGGTAGGCCGAGCTGGCGAAGGACGTTCTCACTGAGCTGAAGGCAGAATCCCCTGGGGCCTGGCTGAGGGCGGGGTCCGAGGGCACCGAGCCTGCTGGGCCAGCCGCAGCCTTGCTGACTGGGCTGGCAGGGCTGCTGGCCTGCTGGGGCCAGGCTGGAGGGGAAACGGGCAGGCGCTGAGAGCCGCCTTCCCGGGGCGGGCTGTCTGCCGGCCGGGCCGTGGGGCTGCGAGGGATCGCCTGTGTCCTGAGCACCCAGACTGTCCTCAGGGGAACCAGCCAGCGCCTGGCTCCTCCAGCCCATCACCTGCTGTGTCGCCAGCACCCGGGCCAACCGGCACATCCTGAGCTGTGGCTGCGTGTCGGGTGCTCCCGCGCGCGCGCGCACGTCTCACGTCGTCCTCACTCCCCGCAGGGTGCTGTGCGCAGGGGATTGAGCTGTGGCTGCGTGTCGGGTGCTCCCGCGCACACGCGCGCACGTCTCATGTCGTCCTCACTCCCCGCAGGGTGCTGTGCGCAGGGGATTGAGCTGTGGCTGCGTGTCGGGTGCTCACGCGCACACGCGCGCACGTCTCACGTCCTCACTCCCCGCAGGGTGCTGTGCGCAGGGGATTGAGCTGTGGCTGCGTGTCGGGTACTCACGCGCACACGCGCGCACGTCTCACGTCCTCACTCCCCGCAGGGTGCTGTGCGCAGGGGATACTAGTGGCTTCACCCACCCGCCACCAGTCCTCTTCCTTCGCGAGATATCCCCACGCTCCTCCTCTCCAGGGGTCCTTAGGGGTGGGTGGGGGCTAAAGCCCTTCCCCGCCCTCAGAAACTGGGCTCCCCGCGTCTGGCCAATCAGCATCCTCTATCCCCCCGGACTCACTGATTGGCTCAGAAACGGGCATGGAAGGACGGGTGGCTCAAAGAGTCGGAGGGATTGAGCGAAGGTGACACAGTTCACAGTATCAGTTCCAACTGGAACGACATCTGCCTCATACGCCAAAGCATGTTTGTCCGTCTTTCCTCCAGATCACGAAGGTCATTCTCAGAACCTGGCCAGGGTGGCAGACGACTTCTGTGCCTTGTGAATTTCAGGTGGTCTGCTTTTGGCCAACTTGTGAATTTCAGGTGGTCTGCTTTTGGCCAACTTGATGCCCTAAAAGAGTTTTCACTGGGGCAGAGTCACTGGCTACAGATGGAATTTAGCATCTAAACAGAGGTTATGAGGAGTACGGGCTCACTTCATCTTCATATAAATATCTGGGACTTTTACCATAACCTATAATACAGGTATTTGTTGAAAACTGTTTCCTTCCATGGGCTTTGCATCAAATAAATGGTGTCCCCACGCACCAACACCTGGTTCCTCCATTTTCCAGAGCCCCAAGTCTGCTTCCCCTGGCTTTAGAGTGACTCCCAGAACTATGCTCTTTTTGTTTAGATTGGTTTGGGGTTTTTTCTTTTTTTCTTTTAGATTTCACAAACAAGTGAGATCATATGATGTTTGTTTTTCTCTGACTTATTTCACTTAGCATAATGCCTTCGAGGCTCATGCATGTTGTCACAAATGGCAAGGTTTTCTCTTTTTATGGCTGAATGACATTCTCCCGTGTACATACACCACGTGTTCTTTATCCATTCATTCATCAGTGAGTACTTAGGTTGTTTCCATGCCCTGGTTATTGTAAACATGCTGTAATGAACATGCAGTTACATATCTTTTCCAGTTAGCGGTTTTATTTCCACTGGATAAATACCCAGAAGTGGAACTGCTGGATCATATGGTAGTTCTATTTTCAATTCGAGATCCTTAACTTAATCACATCCACTAAGAGCTCTTTTCCAAATCAGGCCACATTTCCAGTTTCCTGAATCAAGGCCTGCTATCTCTGGGGGCCACCGCTCAGCCTGTTACAGAGTCGAGTTTCATTTTCCAACTGTGAAAACGGAGGCCCTGAGAGTCAGAGACTCAGGCCTGGGTCATTTCGTTGCTGTTCAGTGGCTAAGTCCTGTCTGACTCTTTGAGACCCCATGGACTGCAGCACGCCAGGCTTCCTTGTCCTTCACCAACTCCCAGAGTTTACGCAAACTCATGTCCATTGAGTCGGCGATGCCATCCAACCATCTCATCCTCTGTCGTCCCCTTCTCCTCCTGCCCTCAATCTTTCCCAGCCTCAAAGTCTTTTCCAATGAGTCAGCTCTTCACATCAGGTGGCCAAAGTATTGGAGCTTCAGCTCCAGCCTCAGTTCTTCCAATGAACATTCAGGGTGGATTTCTTTTAGGATGGACTGGTTTGATCTCCTTGCAGTCCAAGGGGCTCTCAGCAGTTCTCTCCACACCGAAGTTTGAAAGCATCAGTTCTTTGGTGCTCAGTGTTCTTTATGGTCCAGCTCTCACATCCGCACATGACCACTGGAGAAACCATAGCTTTGACTATACAGACATTCCTCGGCAAAGTGATGTCTCTGCTCTTTAATATGCTGTCTAGGTCTGTCATACTACTGTAGTGGGTTGCCATTCCCTTCTCCAGGGGATCTTCCTGACCCAGGGATCAAGCCCAGGTCTCCTGCATTGCAGGCAGATTCTTTACCATCAGAGCCACTCAGGAAGCCAGCCCAGGAAGCCAGCCCAGGAAGTCAGCATCATTCTCTGGAGGAAAGGACTCTGAAAGGAGACTAAGGAAACAGATTTCCACTGTGAGATGGGAAAAGAGGGCATGGGTCAGAGACTTTTGAGAAATGCCCCAGACAAGCAAACTTCGAGGAGGCTGAGCTGCCTGCAGTTACCCTGGACCAAGCTGGCAACAGCAGGCAGCAGGCCTGTGCCTGGAGCTCAAAGGTGGCTGCTGGCACATTGTCACACTACATCTAGTTATAACAGCTCTGCTGCAGAAGCTCCCGGAGCTGGCCGGAGTAACTCTGCAGAGCCCCGAGAACAGAGCAGGGAACTGATGAGGAAACTGAGGCACGGACACCTCCGGGACACCTCCAGAGTTGAGGGGTACAGTAGGGTGAGGCAACACGGCCACGGGCTTTTCTTGGTTCCAGCCACAGGTGTACCTCTGGCTGGCTGTGTGGCCTCAGGCAAGTAACATCATCTAGACCTCAGAGCCCCTACTAGCATCCTGGGGAGGCTGTTGGGAGCATTCAAGGAGGAGACGGGTGTGCAGGTCCTGATGAAGGCTGTGCTCAGGAGGTGTGTGTGTGGATTCCAAGGGTGGTGGCACTGATGGGGTGGGGAAGACCAGCTCGGGGTGGGGGGGGTGGTTCAGGGGGCTGGGGACAAAGGCTTCCGGAAGGCTGGGGGTTAGCATCTCAGAAACTTTAAATGGCAGCCCACTTTGGCTCCCTAGTTTGGAGGTTCTTAGGGAACATTAGTTCTCTCCCTTGTCTCTGCTCCCCAGAGGAGACCACCCAAGGGCAAAGGGGTCATGGCAGGCAGCTAGGGGACACCCCTTACAAAGTCAGTCAGCAGACCGGGCAGAGAGGAGGGGTGTGCGTGCTAAGTCGCTTCAGTCATGTCTGATTCTTGGCGACCCCATGGACTGTAGCCCGCCAGGCTCCTATGTCCATGGGATTCTCCAGGCAAGAATACTGGAGTGGGTTGCCATGGCCTCCTGCAGGGGATCTTCCTGACCCAGGGATCAAGCCCACATCTCTTAAGTCTCCAGCATTGGCAGGTGAGTTCTTTACCACTAGCATCACCTGGGAGCTTGTACTATGCAAGGGACAGCCCCCTTCTCCAGGAAATCCTCTTTTATTTCTTGCCCCAACGCAGCGACATGGGCTGACTGTGTTTCAGCATCGACTGGTAGGCTGTGGGTACCACAATGGTCTAAACATGGGCCCTATGGAAATGCTGCAGTATTTACATATCGGTGGGGCCGCTCCCCCATGTCTGACCAGGAGATCCCAAAGTCTGTCTGGGGCCATGTCCTCATCTGTCAAATTTGGGGTCCCAGGGAGCAAACCCTCCTCAGAGCGCAGATTTGGTTAATCACCGTGTATTGAAAATCTACTGTGCTTCCAACACTGAGCCAAGTGCTGGGCCGAATGAAAGATGGAAATGAGTGTCAGGCATCCCAGAGATGAATAATTATAGCAGTAATACAGAGCCTTTATATCACACCTTCTTTGAATCAGGCCCTGTGTAAGCCCCTTCCATGTGAGGGGGGTCCTATTCAACTTCCCAGTTTATGATCCATACACAGGCCCACTGGGCTCAGAGATTTGCCCATCACCCTGTTTCTAAGGAGAAGATATGAGGTTTGAACCCAGGTAGCCTGGCTCAAGAACTGATGCTTCATGGGACGAGGGCCTGGCCAGGCCCAGGGACAGCGTGTCTAAAGCGTGGGTGAGGGCAGGGGTGAGAGGTGAGGCCTGAGATGAGCGGAGTCCACATCCCAGAGGCACGGTATGTCTCCCAAGGGAAGGACCCTCAAGTTCACGCCCTACAGACAATGGTGAGTGATGGAGAGGGTGGGAGCAGGGGTCAGGCAGGGTCAGATTTGGAGAGAGCACCCTGGTCTCACTAAAGAGCAGACTTGAGGCACGAGGAGAAGGTGTTCATGGGCCCATGATTGATGCTCAGGGCCGGCGCTGAGCTGCTGAGATGGTGGGGGAGGAAGGAGATAGGTGCTGGCGCTGCTCCAGGGGTGGGTGGGCAAGGAGCCTCACCAGTTCCGGAAGGAAGAGCACGCACTGCAGCATGGGTGAGGCCCATTCCCAGCTCTGCCCTTGAGCGTCCTTGAAGGCGCAGCCCTCCTGTTTGGGCGCCAGTTCATCCCACGCACGATCCATCTCCCTGACCTACAGTCCCTGCCGCTATTCCTCAGGACAAAGGCTGGGCGGGTGAGGAACTGCTCCCTAGTCAGGGCCTGGGGAGGGGCCGGTGATGAGCAGGGCAGGGACACAGGTATCCCAGGGGAGGGGAAGGGAGGGGAGGAAGGAGACCAGCAAAGAGGGGGTCCTGAGCCTCAGGGTGGCAGGAATTCCTGCTGCCGGGGAACAGACCTGGGGTCTCAGAGAGCCTGCCCCACCCCTCTTGCTGCATGACCTGGCAGAGTCATTTTAAGAATGCTCCAGCGGAGCCTCCATCCTAAAGGAAATCAGTCCTGGATCTTCATTGGAAGGACTGATGTTGAAGCTGAAACTCCAATACTTTGGCCACTTGATGCAAAGAACTGACTCATTGAAAAAGACCCTGATGCTGGGAGGGATTGGGGGCAGGAGGAGAAGGGGACGACAGAGGATGAGATGGTTGGATGACATAACTGACTCAATGGACATGGGTTTGAGTAAACTCCGGGAGTTGGTGATGGACAGGGAGGCCTGGCGTGCTGCAGTCCATGGGGTCGCAAAGAGTCGGACACGACTGAGCGACTGGACTGAACTGAACTGAGCTGAGCCTCAGTTTCTTCATCGGAAAATGGCCAGAGGGCTGGAGCCAGCCTGGTTTCAAAGCCACAGCCTCCAGGCATCTTCTGCCTTCCCTCGCGACCCAGGTCTGAGAGGACGCTAGACTCATGGGGCGCGGTGAAGCCACACCCTGCCTCTCAGTGGCAAGCAGGTGGGAGCAGGCACACACCGCTGCTGAACCTCATGAACTGAGGAGAAGGCGTTCATCACGGCCAACGGCTCCCGGTTTGATGGGCCCAGCGCTTCAATGTGGAGAGGCCTGCCCCACCCCCGTCTGCCCAAGAAGGCTCTGGAAACCCCCTCCTCCAACCCCCAACCCCCAAACCCCAAACCCTCCAACCCCCCAAAGAGCTCAAAGCGCCTTTTCCTTCCTCTGTGCGCTTCTTGGATCGTCCCACAGTCCCGAGAGCTGAGGCAAGAAAGGGCTTGAGCCTCAATCCCAGCACTGTCTCCTTGAATTTTTTTTGTAGAAATTCTCCAAAGCTGGTTGGTGTTCTATGGGCTGAACTGTGTGCCCCCAAATCCATCTGTTGGAACCCTGGCCCCCACCCTCCCCACTGTGATGGGATTTGGAGATGGCGTTTGGAAGGTGATCAGGGTTAAATGAGGTCATAACGGTGGGGCCCTTGTGATGGGTTAGTGCCCTTACAAGAGGCACCAGTGAGCTCACTCAAGCTCTCTAGGCCGTGTGAGGACACAGGGAGAAGACAGCCGTCTGCAAGCCAGGAGGAGGGTCTTCACCAGGAACCAAATCACCCAGTACCCTGCTTGGACATCCAGCTCCAGACCTGGGAGAAATAAGCATCTGTCCTTTAAGTCCCCCTCTCCCCCAGCGTGTGGCATCTGTGATTAAGACAGTATGATCACAAACAGGCCCAGGTCCCTCTCAAAACCCCTTCATATCAAACTACCTGCAGCTCCTGGAGACACTGGGCTGAGTCAGCCCCGAGATGCTCACACGCTGCTCCCTCTGCCTGGAAGGCCCCCTCCCTCATCTGCTGTGTCTCAGTGCTGACTGCCTATCTCAGGACAAAAATGCAACCAGCACCTTCTCCTGGGACCGTCTCTAACTTTGTCAGACGGCACTGACGTCTCCCTCCTTTGCAGCCCACGGCCCCCATGAGCTAACCGTCCAAGATGCATGTGGGGGTGAGGGCAGAGTGTCACCTGCGCTGCCACCCTCACAAGGACCCAGTAACCTCAGTGAGCCTCAGTGTCCACATCTGGGAAATGGGGCTACAGATGGGTCCCATCTCACTGGGGCATTATGAAGACTGGGTTAGCTAATACACAAACTGCTGGCGCCCACTCAACTGCTATTGTTGTGGTGGTTATTGTCATCTTTGAATCCCCACGGTTAATAAAAGAGAGACGAATCCTTATCCCCACTGCATAGTTGAGAAAACTGGGTCCAAGCGGTGGGCGGAGGGGGACTGGGTCAGGATCGCTCAGCCAGCTGCCGGCAGAGCAGAACCCAGCCCGAGCCTCGGCTGCGTCTGCCCCTCTTTCTGCTCCATCGAAGGGGTGGATGCACCGGGGACCGGGTGCGGGAGAAGGCCCTCTCCCCAGGCCATGGACTGGTCAGCCGCCGTAGAGCGGAGGTCGGAGACCAGGCCCCGTGCGCTGGGCCGACCACAGCCTGCAGCCAAGCCCCAGCGGCTCCTAGAGGGGCTTTCATCCGCCCCGCGCCCCTCCCGAGGCCAGCCCCGCGTTGTCAGCAGCAGCGGCAGGAGACGAAGCTGGAAGTGATCGACATACCCCTGACTTCCGTGAACTCCCATCCAATCTACTGCTCCGGAGCTCTCGCCAGGAGTGTTTGTGCTAATAAACCAAATGGACGCTTCAGAATCCACCGCAGTGGCTGACGGCGGAGGCAGAACGAAATCCTAGCAGCTCTGCGGCATCCTTCCGACGGAGCCTGCGGCATCCTTCCGACGGAGCCTGCGGCATCCTTCCGACGGAACCTGAGGCATCCTTCCGACGGAGCCTGAGGCATCCTTCCGACGGAGCCTGAGGCAGTCGCGGGTTCAGGGCACAGTCTTCTGGGCTTTCCCAGCCCCAAGGACCCCCGGAGGCCATCTCTTCCGAGGCCCTCAGTGTACATGTGAGGAAACTGAGGCAGGGGCATTGCTGGGAGCAGCTTCTAGTATTACAAGGTCCTGCTCTGGGCGTGGGTCAGAGCTAGAGTCTGAGGTGGGTAGTAGTGTTTTGATGAGTCTGGGAGCTCTGGGCAGAGAAATGGGTTGGAAAGAAGGGTGATGGTGTGGAATGGAAAAACAGGGCCCAAGGGGGTTGGGGGCAGAGACCCACCACAAACCCAACCCCAAAAGGAGAACGGCTAACCTCATTTTAGGGGGATTTGAGTCGTCCTCCAAAACGACTTTGCAGCACAGCCTGAGCCCCTGGAGGGGCTGTCAGCCTGAGAGGCCTCTCTGCCCCCCACCACTGACCTCCCCTTCGTCAGGGGCCGCGCCCCCTTCACCGAGGCCCTGAGGCCCTTTTCGGAGCTTGTCCCGCATCTCCAGGACAAAGCGACCCGGACTCCAGCGACAGCCCCAGGAAAGCACTCGCTCACATTCTGAAGCCCCCAGGCCTGGAGCTGTCTGCACCTCCCTAGGCCTGATCCCTGCGGCTTCCCTGCTGGCTCCGCAGTAAAGAATTAGGCTGCAATGCAGGAGACGTGGGTTCCATCCCTGGGTGGGGAAGATCCCCTGGAGGAGGAAATGGCAACCCACTCCAGTACTCTTGCCTGGAGACTCCCATGGACGGAGGAGCCTGGCAGGCTGCAGTCCGTGGGACTGCAAGAGTCAGACACAACTGGGCGACTAAACCACCACCCCCAGGCCAGATCTGTCGCCATGCTGGCCCCATCCGATCTCCGACCTCACTTCTGCCCAGCTCTGGACTGACACCCCCAGGCCAGGCCCCGGGCGCCCCCTGAGCGGGTCCCAGCTCGCGGTGAGCCCCGTACAGATGCTGCGCGACAACCCTGGGGGAGAATGGAGAACAAAGATCCTCCCACAATTCCCTCTGCTTCTGCCAGCAGAGAGTGAAAGCGGGCAGACTCCAGGCTGCCCCCGCGGGAGGATGGGGCTGGAGGGGCCCAGCCTGGATAATCCACAGCCCCTGGTTATGGGGAAACGGGTGGTGACTCTCAGGTGTCCTGCCTGGGACAGCCCGTAGGGAGGATGCACTCCTGAGCTGTCAGGTCATCACGACCCTCCAAGTGACCCCAAGCTCACCCCGAGGAAGCCTTGACCCCAGTTCAGTCCCCATGGGGCCCTGCCTGCTGCAAGGGGTATCCAGGGCAATAGAGGCAGGAAGGGCTCCCTGACCCCCTTCCCGCCCACCCACCCTCCTCCAGCTTCAATCAGAGCCACTTTGCTTTTATCTGTTTTCTGTGGAGAATTTCCCTGTAAGGTTTTGTTTGAACAAAGCTTCCCTCCACTACAAACATTTTGCAAACCTCTGATCCAGCCCTGCCCCCCATGTTTGGCAGTCAGCAGAGGTTCACAGCCAGGTGGCCTGGAGCCAAACCCTATTTATAACACTTACTAGCTGGGCACTGGGGGTGGGGGTCTCTCCCCTGCTCTGAGCCCCAGTTTCTCTGTCTATAAAATGGAGAACGTGTCAGGTTTGCTCTGAGAATCTGAAACACGCAAGGAGGTTATGCCTGCTGAGCTGAAATTCTTTTCAGGTGCAAATGAGGAAACTGAGGGCTGGCGTGGGCACTGGACGTCTGCTCGGCCGCAGAAGGGCTGGCACCCCCACCCCGCCCAGCTGGACAGACAGCAACCTAGTGCCCCGCCGCCCCTCCAAGGCCGCGGCTTGGGCAGCCCCTGCATCTCTGCCGCCACAGCCCGCAGCGAGGCTCACTGGCCCCACGGAGCGTGAGCGCTCACAGGGCCGGCAGGCCGTCTGGAGCAGCACCCGGAGCGGGGAGGCGGGGAGGCAGGAGGTGGCCAGCAAGCCTGCACGTTGTTCATGGAGCCCATCGCCGCTGTTACTGCCGCTATTTAGCATTTAGATAACTCTCTATATTTCCACCAGGTCTGCTGCCCAGAACTTCAGGAAAGCAGTGAGGAGGGCGAGATGCTGGCTCCAAGCAAGGAGCAAGAATTGACTGGATCAGCCTGTCTGCCCTGAGCCTCATTCCAGCCCATTTGTTCACTCGCTCAATACACAGTAGTGGCAGAGCCTCTAGAACATTCCATGTCCTGGGCTGGGCACATGGTGGTTAGACCATGCCCTGCCCTCCAGGAGGGCATGGTCTCTGGGAGGAGATGCTCAGCCTGGGAAGTGCGGTCCCTGCTGGCCCCGGAGAAGGTTCCCTCCGCCAACCATTAGCACAAGCACACGGGTACACGCACCAGGGGGCCGCCCCTCTGCACTCCGGGGTAGTCAGAGGGCGAAACCACCAAGAGGTGACCAGATCCAAATCTCGCTGGAAAAGACATGGAGTGGTTCCTCCAGCCCCGCATGTGGCTTATAGCGAGGTGTCCAGACTCCCTCAACCACTTCCCACCCGCTGACGAGAGCAGCGGTGCCTGTGGAGCCTGTGGAAGGCGGAGCCGTGAAGGTCGTGCCCTTGACTGACTTCCACTGAGGACCAGGCTGCAGGACGAGACTGTGACCAATGGTGGGGATCCATTTGTGGCCAGGGTTGAGGTCAGAGGGGGCATGGCCCCTGGAATCGAGGCGCCATGCGGGCCCAAACAGTGTCCCATTCACCACTGTGATCTCCAGGGCCCAGAACAATGCCTGGTGCTCAGCACGAACCCATGGCGTGAACGAAGGATGTTAGTCAAGTCTCATCGTATAGCTGGGGCCCTGGCTCAGGGTCAGCCCGTGTTCAGAGACAAGTCAGTCTGGAAAGAGACCTGAGCCTTCTGGAGCAGGCAGTGAGGCCAGGGAGCTGAACCGAAACCAGAGGACCCACTCGGTGGCCCAGGCACCAACGTGGTTTCTCCGAGGTCCTTTACCAGCTCCCAGACTCACTGCACATCCGGGCGCTGAAGACCAACTACAGGATAATATCCATTCTTCATGGGTCTCTGGGCCATCTAACTCTCCCACCACCACCATCACCGCCCCCACACACGGGAGTTGATCCCATCAGGAAGCTCTGGACCTCTAGTCCCAGCGGATCTGATCATACCATGATGTCAGTTCAGTTCAGTTCAGTCGCTCAGTCATGCCGACTCTGCAACCCCATGGACTGCAGCATGCCAGGCCTCCCTGTCCATCACCAACTCCCGGAGTTTGCTCAAACTCATGTCCATCAAGTCGGTGATGCCATCCAACCATCTCATCCTCTGTCGTCCCCTTCTCCTCCCACCCTCAATCTTTCCCAGCATCAGGGTCTTTTCAAATGAGTCAGTTCTTCGCATCAGGTGGCCAAAGTATTGGAGTTTCAGTTTCAACATCAGTCCTTCCAGTGAATATCAGGGCTGATTTCCTTTAGGGTGCACTGGTTGGACCTCCTCGCTGTCCAAGGGGCTCTCGAGAGTCTCCTCCAGCCCCGCAGCTCAGAGCCTCCCATCACAGAAAGGATGAGGCCCGGCCCCCTGGTGTGGTCCTCAGTGCCCTGGCTACCTCTCCGGCCCACACCTTACTGCTCCAGCCCCAGCCCAGGCTTCGTGCTCCAGCAAGCGTGAACACCCTGTGTTCTGATGAATTTCCAAGTCACTGCACATGTAAATTCCCCTCCATCCAATGTCTTTTACTTCCTTACAGATATGACAAATAATTGATATTTTAAAGCTGACCACTTCAGTTCGATGTTCCTATGCAATTGCCCTCGTCACACAAAGAATGGTAACTATCAAGTATATGCTTATCTTCCCTGCCTTTTATAAATTTCTACATCACCAGGATCCAGTCTGAGGCCCAGAACTTCATCACCACTGTCACGACCATCCCCACCACCACCATCACCATCGTCACTGCCCTCCCCATCACTGACCACTGTCCACAACTAACATTCACTAAGCCCTTACTGTGCGCCAGGCAGTATTCTGAGACGGTCATGTCATTTTCTCTGCTAATCTTCATAACATTCCTGCTGACTGAAAAAAGAAAATAGCGCGCAACCTAAAAGTTCAGAATTATGTCTTCTTTGGCAGACTTTCTAAGGACTTCAGGCCTAGGAGACAGAGGTCTCAGACAGCTCGGAGGGGCTACTCTGAAGAGGCAGGTGGGGGTGGGAAGCCAGGCTATTAGGAGTTTTTGCAACAAAGACCAAGTGATTGGAACGTCGAAACGTGACTGTCAATCAAAGAAAACAGATATCACAAGGTAAGGAACTTAGCACTTTTCTATGTATGGAAGCTGCAAGAGCTGGGCTCACGGAAAGCGCTCCTTCGACAGGCACCTCAGCTCTCTGGGGCTGGTATCCTGAGCTCTCATGCTGGGTCTGTCCGGTACACCGCGGGCTGGCTGCCGCAGCTGACTGCCAGATGCTGGGCATCCTGCTTCCACCCTCCCTTCCCTCGGGGCTCACCTTCCGGGAGTCTATAAAGGGATAGGTTGATGGATACAGCATCTTCTGTTTACTGATAGGGCAGGCAATATTTTTCAATCACATCCCCACTGAAGAGGAAGGTATTTCACACTCCTCTCCACTGTATGGATGATGAGATTGAGGCTCAGCAAGATTCAGTAACACCCAAGGATTCAAATTCCAGCAGTTTCTCCCTTCTCCAGACAGGGACGTGTTAGTCGCTCAGTCACGTCTGACTCTCTGCGACCCCATGGACTGTAGCCTGCCAGGCTCTTCTGCCCATGCAATTTTCCAAGCAAGAATACTGGAGTGGGTAGTCATTCCTTTCTCCAGGGATCTTCCTGACCCAGAGATTGAGCCCAGGTCTCCCGCGTTGCAGTGGATGCTTTACTATCTGAGCCACTGCGGAAGCCCTCAGATAGGAAAAGAACCTGGGGAATTCAAAATTCCTCCTCAGACGACACTGTTTCCGCTTGACTTTGGGGTGTCTTGCGAGGTCACGCACTCAGAGGGCCTCTTGTTTCTGTGGATCCCCGCGCAGCCATGGACACCACACCCTGGACGTGAGCCTCTGAGGCTGCGCTCTCTGCCGCCGTCTGCTCCCCTGAGCGCAGGGTCGGCGCCCAGCCACTCAGCCTACAGACTCTGCCCAGGGTCCGGCCCCGCACAGCTGCGCCACGAGCATCTCGGCCCTGGAATGGTCAATTCCAGGCAACAGCCAGCTGCTCAGACGACGTGATGGTGACGAGGAAAAGTTAAAATTTCACACAACCTCCTGCCCCTTCCGCCTCTGTAACTTGCCTTGCTCCTTGCAAAGTCTGGATCACATAGGTCACGCAGTCTCAGAAAGTGGGGACGTACAATACTAGGAACTGGAGCTTATCTCACTCACCCTTGTCTTGCTCTTTGCAGTCGCCCAGCCCCCGCAAACCTGTTTAATGGTGCCTGGCTGTGTAAAGGTCTGGCATCCCCCTCCCCATCTTGACTGATCCCAAGTGCGTGAAACCCCTTAGTTTA